GCCTTCTCAGTAAGATCAGGGGTGAAGCAAGGATGCCCATTATCACCACCATTATTCAATATAGTACTAGAAATGTTAGCTATAATAATAAGACAAAAAAAATCAAAGGAATTAAAATAGGCAATGAGGAAACAAAACTATCACTCTTTGCAGATGATATCATGGTATACTTGGAGAAGCTTAGAGAATCAACTAAAAAACTACTTGAAATAATAAACAACTGTAACAAAATTTGAAGACATAAGATAAACCCACATAAATCATCAGCTTTTCTTTATATGACCAACAAAGCCCAGCAACAAGATATAGAAAGAGAAATACCATTTAATATTACTGTAGACATTATAAAATACTTAGGAGTCTACCTCCCAAGACAAACCCAAGGAACTATATGAACACAATTACAAAACATTTTTCACACAAAAAAAGTCAGTTCTAAACAACTGGAAAAATATCAATTGCTCTTCAGTAGGCTGAGCCAATATAATAAAAACAACAATTCTGCCTAAACTAATTTACTTATTCAGTGCCATACCAATCAAACTACCAAAAAACTATTTGATAGAGCTAGAAAAAATAAAATTCACATGGAAGAACAAAAGGTCAAGAATATCATGGGAATTAATGAGAAAAAAAATACAAAGGAAGATGGCCTAGCAATATTAGATCTCAAACTATATTATAAAGCAGTGATCATCAAAACTATCTGGTACTGGCTAAGACATAGAGTGATGGATCAGTGGAATAGATTAGCTACACAGTGATGGGGTGCTGGGGTGCTTGTGTTTGGGTGCTTGTGCTTGGACCCCAATTTCTCCCTAGTCTCAGAAACACTGTCTCTGACAGTTTCTCCCCAGCCCAAGGACACTGTGCCTAGCAATTACTCATGAGTGGGCCCCAGCAAGACCCTTATCTCTCTCCCTGGTGCAGTTACAAACAGCACCTGAAGGAATTATTACTTTGAACTGGCTTTGCACTGGGTCATAAAGATATTGTTAACCACTGGACTATTTATGCTACCACCCTACCTCATTATCTACAACCTAGACTCCTCATTATCTGTATTCTAGACCTGAGACATATGGATACTCCCTATATCTATCTTGTCAAACAAGACATTGACTGGTGGCAGACTGGACAACTCTCAGTTATCCCTGAACTCTAGTTATCTTAGTGACATAGCAGACCTAAAACCACACCTCCATGTGGCCCCTTTGTGGGCTTTTCCTAGTGAACTCTGGGTGAAATGCCTGCGCAGTAGATACAAAAAGTGCATGTTCCTTTAAGAATTGACCACTCCTTAACCACTCCCTGATCCCACCCTGAATCACTTAGTTAGCATATTTGACATACGTTTTATTATATTTTATCACATATAAACTTTAACTGTACCCCTCTAAGATCACAGGTTCCTTAAGAATCCTTGTCCACTGAAAAGTGTAACAATAAACTTTTTGCCAACTTGACTTAAAGAATGCCTGAGTCTGTGAATTTATTCCAGACAACCCCATCCTGTACTCTAGTTTTTGAGGGGTCTCAACCTCTCAGACCACAACACACAAGACAAGCAGTCAATGACCATAGTTACCTACTATTTGATAAATCCAGAGACTCAACTTTTGGGATAAGAACTCACTATTTGACAAAATCTGCTAGGAAAACTGGAAAAGAATGGGACACAAATTAGGTATAGATCAACATCTCACACTGTATACCAAGAAAAGGTCAAAATGGGTGCATGATTTAGACATAAAGCAAAATAGAAGAGCAAGTAATACTCTGCTTGTCAGACATATGAGGAAGGGAAGAATTCGTGACCAAACAAGAGATAGCATTACAAAATGTAAAATAGATAGTTTTGATTATATTAAAAAGCTTTTGAACAAATAAAATCAATGCAGCCAAGATTATAAGGAAAGCAGAAAGCTGAGAAACGATCTTGACAGCAAATATCTCTGACAAAGGCCTAATTTCTCAAATATATAGAGAACTGATTCAGATTTATAATAACACTAGTCATTTCCCAATTGATAAATGGTCAAAGGATATGAACAGGTAGTTTTTAGGTAAAGAAATCTGAGCTATCTACAAGCATATGAAGAAGTGTTCTAAATCACTTTTGATTAGAGAAATGCAAATTAAAACAACTTTGAGGAGCACCTCACACCTATCAGATTGACTAATATGACAAAAAAGGAAAATGACAAATGTTGGAGAGGATGTGGGAAAGTTGGGACACTGATGCACTTTTGGAGTTGTGAACTGATCCAACCATTCTGGAAAGCCATTTGGAACTATGCCCCAAGGACAACAAATTGTGCATACTCTTTGACCCAGCAATACCACTGTTAGGTCTGTACCCCAAAGAGATCACAAAAAAAAAAAGGAAAGGACCTACATGTGCAAAAATATTTATAGCAGCCCTTTTTGAGGTGACAAAATATTGGAAACTGAGGGGATGGGCACAATTTGGGGAATGGCTGAACAAGTTGTGTTTGTTGTATGAATGTAATGGAATACTGTTATACAATAAGAAATATCATTGAACAGACAGATTTCAGAAAAACCTGAAAAGACTTGTACAAATTGATGCAAAGTGAAATGAGCAGAACCAGAAAAACATTGTACATAGATAGTATCAATGACACTGTGTGATCAGCTATGAATGACTCAGCTCTTCTCAGCAACACAATCATCCAGGAAAAGAATCAAGGGTTCACAAAGAAAAATGCTATCCACATCCAGGTAAAGAACTGATGGACTCTGAATGCAGATCAAAGCATATTTTTTTCACTTACTTCATTCTGTCTCATGGCTTTTTTCCTTTTCATCTGTTTCTTTTTTTCACAGCTGTGACTAATATGGAAATATGTTTTACATCACAGCACATGTATAACCTATATCAAATTGCCTACCATTTTTGGAAGAGGGAAGGGGAGGGAGGGAGGAATAAAAATTTGGTACTCAAAATCTTGTAAAAACAAATGTTAAAAACTATCTTGACATGTAATTAGAGAAAAAAATTAAATACTATTAAGAGAGAGAGAGAGAGAGAGAGAAGAGAGAGAGAGAGAGAGAGAGATGCCTTAAGATTTGGGTACCTAAACTCTTTCAAATTTTACTGCTGAGTCCTGCACAAGTAATTCCAAATCTAATCTATAGAGATTAGTTACAGTGATTAACTAAAAACTCAGCAATTAATCGATCAATAATCAATGTGAGAGGTCAGTGCCCTTAGTACTATAACTAAAGAAGATAAGGCTTAGGAAGGTCATAATAACTACCAAGTATTTGAGAAGCTGTCATGTGGAAGTGAATAGATTTGTTTTGCCTGCCTCAGATAGAGAGAATTAGCTGCAATGGATAGAAACCATAGAAGGGAATGATGCTTACATTACCTAGTGGTTGGAAATAAGAGTGCTTCCTATATCTTAAAGGATTGTATGAGGGGCAGCTAGGTGGTGCAGTGAATACAGTACTGGCCCTGGATTCAGGAGGACCTGAGTTCAAATAGGACCTCAGACACATAAGAGTTACTAGCTGTGTGACCCTGGGCAAGTCACTTAACCCCATTGACTAGCCAAAAAAGGAAAAAAGAGAAAAAAGAGTTATATGTGAGTTATTTGCTATCTTATGAGGGGCTAGAAATTTACATTCTCTGACTTTATATTTGTTTTTTTATTCCAAACCTAAGTAATAATAATAATAATAGCTAGTATTTATATATTGCTTTTAAGCTTTGCAAATTGTTTTACATTATCTCATTTGATCCCCACAACTACCATGTGAAGTAGGTGCTTTTGCTATTTCCATTTTCAGATGAGGAAACTTAGATTGAGAGAGGTTAAGTGACTTGCCTAGGGTCACATAGCTAGTAAGTATCTGAGACAGAATTCAAACTCAGGTCATCCTGATTCCAAGACCACTCATGTGTTATCTTCCCAAAAGAGAGATGCTTTGTTTTGTTCCATTCCTATTCTTTAGCTTCGAATTGTAATGAAAAGAATTCTGCATTTGGAGGCAGGACATAGGGTTGGAACCTAGATCTGCGACATTGGCAATTCAATTATTACCCAAGGTTCGGTTTTCTTATCTGTAAAATGAAAGAAAGTACTAGATGACCTCTACAGGGCCTTCAGACGCTCAGTCATCTAAAGAGCCAAAGAAATCAAGAGAGTTTCCAAAAAGTTCCCTGTCTGTGGTTTACTGAATATATTACATTTGCAGTGTATCCACAAGAATAGTCAGGATACCAGGTCAAGACAGCCTGGGGCTGTGATTCCACAAGCCTCTGGTTTCAGAGACCCATTCATTTCATTGGTGAAGAATCTGAGGTTCATAGAACTGGAAGTGTTTTGCCCTGCAGGGTTATCTTCTATTCTTTATGTATTTTGAATGTACCTATTTATCTTAGCTGGACCATTAAAATGTCAGCTCCTCAAGGGCATGAACTGTTTTTATTTGTTTGTTTTGTTTTTTTACTTTTTCTCTGTAACCCCAGACATTTAGCACAATGCCTTGCACAAAGTATTTAATCAATGCTTGCTTAATTGTCTAAGGTCAAGTATACTGACTGATGGAGGATCTGAACCCAAGTCATAGGACCATAGATTAAGAGCTTAATGGGACCTTAGACACCTTGAATTTTACAGATAAGGAAACCGAGGCACAGAGAGATTAAGTGAATTGCCAAGGGTTATGTAGTTAGTAAGTGTCTGAAGTGGAATTTGAATTCAGGTCTTCCTGTCTGCCCAGTGTAGCCCTATGGGCTATGTGTTAGTTACACTATTCCGACAAGAGATGGAGGAAAGTAATTCTTGAACCTATTTCCCCACCCCTGCTCTGTTTTATTGACGTGTTACTGAGACTTGAGTTGTTGCTATTCTAATTGGCAGAATCAGGAAGACCCAAGTTACTAGCTGTATGACCCTGGGCAACTCATCTAATTTATCTCAATTTGTTTCCTTTGCAATGAAACGACATAAAATAACAGCACCTACCTTACAGGTTTTTTGTAAGAAACAAATTCGGTACCAAGCAAGTGTAAGGTGTTTTGCAAACCTTTAAGGGTTTATATGCTGTAATGGTGTTATCTTTATTCTCCTTCTCCCTAGGGCTTTGGATTAGGGTTTCCTGCCTCTGCCCAGCTCAGGTCTTAATCGTGCTGTCAAAAGTCCCACTCTCAAAATCTTGTTCAGAAGACTCCCGGATTTTTCTGGGCAGGGGTCTTGTAACAAGCGAGGCCACAAGACGTGATGGAGGCCAGTCCTGGGGCTGGGGACCAGAACTGGGGAGTGTAGAGGGGAGGGGGGCGCAGGGCGATGGAGGAATACTGAAGAAAGTTGGACTTCAACTTTAGATATCCTGAACAGGGCTCCACGAGTAAACAGCATGGCAAACACAAGAATGCAGAAGCTGGAACCTGCAGGCGAGGAAGGGCGCAGGAGCCTACCCACCCACAGGTGGGGCTGGGATAGTCAGAGACGGCCAAAGTCCGACTAAGATGGAGGCAGAGCTTGGGGCTGGTGTGGGCGAGGTAAGGGTGTGGCTAGGGCGTGGTCAGGGCGGGGCAGAATCAGCCGTTGAGGGGCAGTTAGTGGCTGTCGGTAGCTCACTGAAATGTTCCAAAGTCCCTCGTGGATCCCAAGGACTCAATCCTCAACCCAAATTGCTAGTCATGATGTTGGATCAGAGGATCCCCCAGCTCCAGATCCTGGTCTTTATGGCCGCACAGTCATCCCTTGCTCAGCTGCCCCCAATACCACCAATCACGGATCCCAAATTTATCGAGGATTGTGTCAAAATCCACAATGAGTCGCGGGCTGTAGTTAACCCGCCAGCTGGAAACATGAAATAGGTGGTGAGAAAGAACTGGGTGGCATCGTAATAATTAATCATAGTTAACATTTATCTACCACTTTATACTTTACAAAAGCCTATATTTTGTTTCAACCTCAAAAGAATCTTGTGAGGTAGATAGCATAGGTATTCCTATCTCCATTTTACAGATGAGGTAACCAAAGCCTGGAGAGAAGCAGAAGTTCATAATTTCATAGACTTTGAACTGGAATGGACCTTCAAGGTCATTTTAATACAACTGCTCATTTTTCAGTTGAAAGAATCAAGGCTAAGAGGGGTGAAGCATTCGTCAAAAGGTCACACAGGCAGCAAGTGATGGAGTCAGGATTCAAACCCAGGTACTCCAGCTCCAAATCCAGAATTCTGCCCCTTGTATCACTGTATGGTATTCTCTATGACAGGAAGAATTTTTTAAAAATCACCTACTAGTCTAGCCTCTTCATTTTCAAGATGAAGAAACTGAGTACTCCCGAGGTCACACAAATAGTGTCAGTCCTCACCTTCATACCCAGGGCTCCTGATTCTAAATCCACTTTTCTTTCCATCATATCAAAGTTGCACAAGTATATCTTCCTTGAATGGATTGCTTCCTCTTCCTCCTTCTGTTCCCATAATCTAATTGTAATTATCACAGTTATTTTACAACAATTGTTATATAGAGAGGTTGGGAACACTTTGCCATTTTATTTAGTGTTGCCAGTACTTTTAAATTTTTTCAATAGCATGCTTAAATAATTGACTATTAAATCTTTATTGTATGCCACATCTTTTTCTCGTTATCATGCTTTGTTCACATTTATCATAAATTCTGATCTTTGCTTGGTGGATGGTCTGACTATATAAAAATAACTCCCATGTCAATAATGTTTGCACAATTTTTCACCATCCTCACCTTTTCCCATCTTTGCATTGAAATCACCAAATATCAGAGTGTTTGATAATTTGACATGGAAAGTTTATCAAGTTCTTAATCAAATTTCTCTGCCACTTCATTCTTAGGAACTAACATTGGTACTTAAGCTGCAGTTATTTTAATGGTGGTCTTTTACAAGTACTTCTCATGAGGACAGTAATATATGTAGACCAAATGTCTCATTAGATAAGGTTTCTTGGAGTTTTGGGACATAGGACAAAACTCACTCCACTAATTCTTTTTTCTTTTTTTTTTTCACCTTTCCAAGGAGTACCTGGGGGTCACCCTTCCATTTAACTACAACTTTCTTCCTTCTCCCAGTTTTCTTGATAGCAAGGATAGGATTTAGCTTCTCCAGTAACGTGTCCTCTCATTGGACAACAATCTCACATTTAGAGTCCCAACATTCAAATTAAAATTCAAAAAGGATATGATTCTTACCATCCCTCTCCCCCTCCGTATTCCCTTTCCCACCAACTCTGTGGCCATCACTGCAGAATATCATACATAAATACACAAACAGCATTTTTGAGCACTTAAGGTTGGCAAAACAATTTACCTTGCAAAGTACTTTATTTGATCCTTGAAACAACTCTATGAATTAGTTGCTATTACTATCCTCACTTTACAGAAGAAGAAACTGAGGCAAAGTGAGCTCAAGAAACTGGCACAGGGTCACATAGCTTATAAGTGTCTAAGGCAGGATTCAAACTCAGGTCTTCCTGACTTTGAGTCCAGTGTTTTACACATTGTGCTACTACATGGGACTGAGGACCCATAAAAAAAATGTTTTCTTTATTTCATGGGTTGCCATAGCCAAAAGAATTCCACACATGTTTGACCAGCCCACTGGGGTTGTACTCTCTGCAGTAGAATTTGGATGTTTGGCAATTTAGCTTGAGAAGGGACCTTAGTGTCTGGTACCCTATTTTGCCAAATGATCTTCAGAATCTTCCTAAGACAATTTAAATGGAAGCAATTCAGTTTCCTGGCATGGTGCTAGTATACTGCCCAAGTTTCACAGGCATGCAACAATGAGGTCAGCACAATAGCTCTGTCCACCTTCAGGTTGGTAGGCAGTCGAATACCTCTTGTCTTCCATACTTTCCTTTGGAGCCTCCCACACACTAAGCTAGCTCTAGCAATGCCTGCATCAACCTCATCATGTATGTGTACATCCCTGGAAAGTATACTGCCACGATAAGTGAACTTATCCACAGCATTCCAAATTTCATTTGCTGTAACTGATGGTTCCACGGATGGATGGATGGTGTGGTGCTAGCTGGTGGAGAACCTGTGTTTTCTTGATGTTAATTGTTAGGCCAAAATTAGTACAAGAAGCAGAGAAATGCTTCATAGTTTGTTGCATCTCAACCTCAGAGGCTGCACTGGGTGTGCAATCATTTGTGAACAAAAAGTCTTGAACCAACTATCCCTCCACTCCAGTCTTGGTTTGTAGCCTTTTCAAGTTAAATAATTTACCACCAGTGTGACAGCTAACCCTGATGCCATTTTTGTCCTCAGTGAAGGAATCTTAACAACATTGCTATAAACATTGCTAAGAAAAACATGGAAGCAAAGGTGCAGCCTTTCTTTAATCTATTGGTGTCTGGAAAAGCATAAGAGCATCATCCATTATCCAGAACCCATAAAAAGATGCCATCATTAAACCAATGTACAATACTGATGAACTCCAGGCAACTAAATTTTTCCATGATTTTCTACAAGCCATCATGACTGACAGTATCCAAGGCCTTAGTCAGATTTACAAATGTGTACAGACCTCTGTTGTGCTCCTGGTGTTTCTCCTGGAGTTGTCAGGCAGCAAACAACATACTGACCATTCCTTGGCCCTCTCTGAAGCCACACTGTCTCTTGGGTAGACGACCGTCCTCCAGGTGAAGGATCAACCCATTAAGGAGGAGTCTGGCAAGAATCTTGCCTGCAATGACACGGAGACCTCCCCCTCCCCCCAACTCTGTGATTGTCAGAGAATAAACTATTTCCTTTACCTTTACAAAGATGGATAGGATAGGCTTGAACTTCTGGGGGATAACCTCCTCTTGCCATATAACCAGCAAGATTTTAGTCAGCTTTTGTATGAGCAGTGCCTTGGAAATCTTGGCTGGAATAGAATCAGCACCAGGCGCTTTGCCACATGAGAGGAGCCAAATGATATTCAAAACCTCTTCTTCAGTTGGAAGTTCAGCTAGAGAGAGATAGACTTCAACCTGAGGTATATGGTCAATGGCATCAGCATTGACTGATGATGGTCTGTTGAGAACACTATGAAAGTGTTTAGCTCACCTCTTCAGGATCATGTTTTTATCATGTCTATCACTAATCAATGTGGCTCCATCAGCAGGTGCACCATAGGTTTTTGGCCCATCATTGTTATTATCGACATAAAACTGAATTTCATTTGCCTTCTTACTGAACCAAGAATCCTGCATCTCTCTAAGCTTTGCTTTTAATAGAGTTAAATGCTGCTTTCTTAGAGACAGATGAACTGTCCTGCTGGTAAACCCTGTGGAATTCTTGTTTTTCATTTAACAGCTTCCGAATTTCCTCATCATTTTCATTAAACCAAACATGATATTTAATGAGTGTTCTGGGCCAGATGAGTTAATTAAGTACTGTATGCCAAATCTCTGATCGATGCCCACTCCTTTTCTACTCTGTTGTTGCCAACTGTGTATTGGTTCAGTTTTCCCTCCACATTAGTAACATACTGTTCATTCTAGGAGAAGTGCTCTAATCTGTTGACATTAAGTCTCCTGGTAATTACTTTCACTTGCAGCCAATGCTTTTGTTAAATGTAAATATTTAGCTTGAATAGGATAAGTTTATGATCACTCTGCCTTCATCAGTCTCACATCTTATCTGTCTTTTTTCCTTACAATGACATAGTCTATTAAATGTCAATGTTTTCTGTGAGTGTGCATCCATGAAGTTTTATTGCATTTAGGTAAATGGAAGATGCTCATAAGATGAGTCATAAGAGAAGGTCATAAGATGCACAAGTCTTCAGTAGTAAGTGATGATCTCTGGGCTGTTTCTGACTGCATTCCTCCGAAGCACTCCCTGCCATGTCTGATAGTCTGTGCCTACTCTGGTATTAAAGTCACTCAGAGCCAAAGAACCAGAAATTGAGGGGATACCCATCAATTGGGGAATGGCTGAACAAGTTGTGGCATGTGAATGTAATGGAATAGTATTATGTTATAAGAAATGAGGAGCAGGCAGACTTCAGAAAAATCTGGAAAGACACGTATAAACAGATGCTGAGTGAAATGAGCAGAAAACCAGGAGAACTTTGTACACAATAACAGCTACATTGTGTGATGACTAACTTTGATAGATTTAGCCCTTCTCAACACTGCAAAGACATGAGACATGAGACATCTCCAAAAGTTGTTCAAAGTCTTTGGCCTCACTCTTCCAGAGTCATTTGAGTCCAGTGGCAAGATGAAAGTCTAGATGACTGGAGATGACTTAGTATGCTGTGGATGACCTTGGCATTTTCAGTGTCCAACCAAACTCTTAAGCCAGCAGTGGGGAGCCTGAGGCCTCAAGGCCATGTGTGGCTTTCTAGGTCCTTGGATATGGCCTTTGACTGAGTCCAAGTTTTATGGAATGAATCCTTTTATTAAGGGGATTTGTTCTGTGAAGTTTGTATTCAGTCAAAGGGCTGCACTTGAGGACCTAGAGGGTCACATGTGGCCTTGAGGCTGCAGGCTCCCCACCACTGAAAGGATTTCATAACAACTGCTTCAGCTGCCTTCATGAACATTGGAACAAGTCGTTCTCAACTGCCTATTCCACTGGGGAAGTCTTCACATGCTTGGGGTAGACACCTCCTAATTCTCTGATGGGTTTGTGACCTGTTGCTTACCCTCAATCTGGTTTAGCTCATCTGCTGAAATAGTTTACCAGGGTGTGGCCACTGAGCATGCTACATCTTCTTAGAGCCACAAGTGAGAGTTGAGTGAATCCAGTAGACACCAAAGGTGGAAAGCAGCCCTGAAAAGGGCTCAGTAGCCCTCATACCATCCAAGTATTAACTGATTTTTTTTTTACTTTAATCAGTTTTAGTATCAATCAGTCAACTAGCTTTCATTAAGTACCCATTATGTACTGGAACAAGTGCTGGAGATATAAAGAAAGTTAAAAAACAGCCCTGCTCACAAGGACCTCATAGTCTAGTTGGGGAAACAACATTTAAATAACTATGTATGAACAACACATATACAGGATAAATTGGAAACGATCGCAGGGAAGGTGAAAGCATTAAGGGGGATCAGGAGATCAAGGAAGTCTTTTTGTGGAAGATGGGGCTTTAGCTGGATCTTGGAGAATGTTTAGCTGAACCAGGGAAGCCAAGAGGTTGAGATGATGTGGAGAGACTAGCAGTCATGGGGGACATCCGGTACGGGTCTAGGCAAGGATGACAATATTATTGGATGATGGAGTATATTGGGAGTTGGGGTGTAAGGTTTAAGAATGTGGTAGATTCTTATAATCTAGCCAATAGTTCAGTAATGTTCAGATTCCTTAAGAGTCTGGCCAATATGGTGGATGTTCTAATAAACCTTGTCTTTGGCTGAAAAGAGGGTTGAGTTAAATTCTTTCAGGGAAGACCCACTTGTCATGATTTGGGGGTCCCAGCACCCCTAAACCTCAATATTTTGGTGGCATGTACAGGGAAGCTGCCTAACCCCAAGTTCTTCTCCAGCCAAGACTGGAAGGTAAGCCTTGCCTTCTTTCTTGCCCTGCAGCTGAGGTCGCTCTCCAAGCACCTAGGAAGTCTTGGAGATGCTTTTCAGGCAGACAGTTATGAGGCTGTTACTCGGCCTGACACTCTCAGACTCTCAGTCCACTGATTTGATTTGAAGCCGTGGACCTGGATACATCTTGCACAGCACAGAGGACAAGGATGGATGCCCTTTCTGGAAGCACATGCCCAATTCTGTCAATTCTTTCAGTGCTAGAGAATTGGGGAAACTGCAGGTGCTTTTTGGTTCCCTGAGGCTTACTTACTTCCTTTCCTCTACACCCCTGGATCCTCCTTCATGGAGGTTACAGGGAAAACTTAGAACAGCTAAAAACATCTAAGCAGATTCTGGAGGTTTTATGATTGATCATTAAGGAGTTTTGAAACACCTCTGTACAACATTCCCTTGAGTCAAGAGGGTATCTGTTAACCCCTCTCATAAGGAGAAGTTTCACCCTTTTCCCCTCACTTTTGATTTTGCCCTCCCCTACCTGGGGAAATCTTTGCTTGGAAGCATCATCCACATTCAGCACATCCTGCTCAAGGCAAAAAAGTTAGCCTCTGAACTTTGGTAAGCACATTCTTTTAAAGTTGTAGTTTTAACTGTTAATGATGAGATATTGGTTCTCTGTGTAAAGTAATTTGGAAATGCATTTAACAAAATTGAAGTCACCTGATTGGTAATGAGTTTGTTTCAAGTTTCAAATTGGTGAACATTTTGTATCACTTATGTCAAACAACTTTTCATAATTTGATTGCTGCTAAAATAATTTGGCTATTGCTGGTTATTGTTTTAATGTGTAAACTTGCCAAAAAGCTTGTACGGGTTTTGTCTTGCTAAGAATTTGCAAGCATATAGAAATAAGCTCTAACAATTGGCTTTTTACACCAGGACAAATTTAAATTTGAGATGTAAATCCTGGAAAAGTTTTTCCTAAGCTGTGATTAGTGAAACTTTCTGTTTGAGGTAGAAGCTCATGGGATTTTATTTTGAGTTGTCTAATGGATCATAATAATCTATTGATAATCAATAATCCACCATCTGAGAGAAATGCCATAAGCCACTCAGACAGAATGTGATGCTGGTGGGAAGTCAGCAGCAGGAAAAGCTGAGAGGACAATTTTAGCCTCAGGGTAAAATGAGATCCTCCTGGCTCAAGTTTCCCCATTATGTTCCTTGAAAAGGAATGTTACCCACCTGGCTATTCCTGAGTCTGGCTATGAGGTGGATTTAATGCTGCATGGTTGGAAAACTGAATTATCTGAATCCAGACAGAGCTAAAGATGTTTTATCCTGTCATATCTGGGCCCTGCAGTCTTTTCTGTCAGATTTGTGTCTTCCAGACTACAGGCCATTCACCTACAGTTGGTAGCAAACCATGAGTACCAGCCAATGAAGCAGCCTGTGCTTGGTTCCAGTCAACCTCCTTTTTGGGACCCCCTTGAGGCAGAGACCACTCTGTGCCCCTTGCCAGCAAGAAGCAGTTTCAGAAGCCAAGACCTTCATCCCTTACTCCAAAAGAATTTGGGTCCCATTTGTTTGAGGGGGGAACAATGGGGATGGGAACTGGATCCCAGAAAGGAAAAACCCTGGACTTTCCCAGGAGTCTGAATCTCTGGTGTTCACTTCAGGCTATAATCCCATCAACTGGCCTTTCATTGTGGCTAAACCTAATCTCCTAATTCTCTGTTACCCTTAACCTAGCTTGGTCCTCCATCACCTTACCTCCCTATGGCCCTGGGCCACTTCCCACCCTTAATCTTTAGCTAGGCTCCATTCTCCCCTGGCCATGTGGTCCAGGCCCCTGGCATTCTATTACCTCACAGTCACCACAGACTACTTGGCCACTCTAGATCTCTTCCACAGTCTTTCTGTGTATAAGGTCCATCTTGTTTCCATTAAGGTACTCAGATTCTTATAATCTAGCCAATAGCTCAGTAACATTCATATTCCTTAAGAGTCTGGCCGATGTGGTGGATGTTTAATAAACCTTGTCTTTGGCTGGAAAAAAAAAAAAAGAATGAGGTTAGGAAGGAGCCAGGTTACAGAGAGCTTTGGACACTAAACAGAGTATTTTATACCTTACCTGGAGGCAATAGGGAGCCACTGGGGAGACTGGAGAAGATGGCATGGTCAGACTTGGGCTCTAGGAAGATCAATTTGGCAGCTGAGTAGAGGATAGAATGGAGTGGAGAGAGACTTGAGGCAGAGGGAAATCAGACTACTGCAATAGTCTGAGGGTAAGGTAATAAGGGCATGCACTAGGGCTAATCACTCAGTCAAATAGCATTTATTAAGCAACTATATGCTAGCCACTATGCTAAGTACCTAGGAAAAACAAAGGCAAAAAACAAACAGGAACAGAAGTCCTTGCTCTCAAAGAGCAAGTCTAATGTGTCAGAGGAGAGAAATTAATCAAATTCTTAAAACTGTTCAGATTACTCCTGGGTTTAAATTGGATATGTTCATTCTCTAAATTCTCTGAAAGAATATTACTCTCCTCTCTCCCACCAAAAGATTTGAAACTTCCTATATAACTGTGGAAACAAAATGACATAATGTGAAGTGTGAAAGAATCTCTACAAGTACTTCATAGAAAATCTACCCAACATGTTGGAGGACTTCCTCTTTTTCTTTTGGTATTGTAAGATTATCATCGTATGCTTCCCTCTCTTCTTCCTCATTCTCCCCAGGCTGTCCATCTCTCACTCTTGTTCTAAGACCAGCCCACTTCCTTTTGAAGTCAGTCAAATCCTATTGAATGTCTTTTTATGCTACTTCTTGAAAGCAAATGACCACTGTTAACACAGCCTGATTACATACACTCAGTTCTTTTCAATCACTTTCTGGGTTGTCATTTTAATTCTTCTGAGTTGGCAGTTTTCCACTGTTCACGTCCATATAGCATCATGAGGAGAATGCTGGTTATTTGCAATATTAATTAGTTCAGGATCATTGGCATTTGCAGCAACGAACATTTTGGAATCTTCAAAATAATAATGTAATTACAGAAATACAATCTAACTTGATCTCCTCCTCCCTGAATCAAGAGAGAATTCACTATCCTTCCGCCATATCTGTCTAGGATCCAGTAATCCAAAATGCTAATCTTCCAGCTGAATGTCACACAGCTGCAGTTCCTATCAATTATTCATCCACCCCTCCATTCTGCATCTGCTTCTATCATCTAATTTTGAACTGTTTCCCCTTTTCTCAGCCCTATTTGCTTGTGTGCGTTTTATTGCATCTTAACTTGTATTATTGCTGTTTGTATCCATGTTATCCCCTTTTTATTCAACTGTATATTTCTGGGATGAAAGTCAATAAATATATGTTAATTGCCAAATATGTGCTAAGCACTGGAATTAATATTTGATTTACAGATTTGCAATACATCTTTAGTGAAAACTTTCTAGAATGGAGCAGGGAAATGTATTTTTAAAACAGGTTTCTTGTTCGGGCAAAAAAAAAATGCATCCTTAATGCTCTAACTTCAAAGAAGAGTGCTGACCACAACATAAATCCTCAATAAATATTTGATTGACTACTCTGGGTTTTGAAAGGAAAAGAAGACATGGATAAAAGGAGACTTTAAAATATTTCATGTTGACATGCAGAGAAGTGGAAATTATAGTTGTTAGGTTTGAAAATAGATCCAATAGGCAGTAACTTCTTTGTTCTTTTAAGGCAAATCTCAATCTCTTTCCAGAATTGAGAATGTATAGCCATGTAAAATGGATTGCATGAGGTTTATTTTAATGTTTCATATATCAAGGTGTTTTGTAGCTATAAAAGGGATCAGCAGACAAGCTGACAAAATTAGGAAAGACCACCTATACAGGTACCAGCCTGGGAATGGACAATCTGCCTGTTATCTATGAGCCAGCCTAATTAGTTCAGAGAAGTTCATCTTTAGGTTGGATGCAAGGTGAAGACTTATTCATTCATTTATTTGTTCATTTGTTTGTTTGTCACAACTCACCAAGACCATCCATGATGTTGCAGAAGGGTTGTAACTGGTGTTGGTATAAGGCATATCCCCATTGACAACATGGATCATTGATCAATTACTAAAAGCAACCGAGGAGATTGGAGTATGATTTTAAAAAACAAACAGCTAAGACTACACATTTGTATTTTACAAGAATAATAAATGGAAGCTTCGAAAAATTGTTATTTTCAATCCCTAACTGTGCACAATTTGGTTGCTTTTATTTTTCTCTTTCAGACTTGGGATACCAGTTTAGCAAAGACTGCCAGAGCATGGGCAAAGAAATGTGTTTTTAAACAGAATGTTTATATAGCCAAAAGACATGCATGCCATCCTCTTTTTAAAACTGTAGGAGAAAATTTATGGATGGGCACACTGACCGAATATGTTGTCAGAAATGCTACTACAGATTGGTTCAATGAAGTAAAATATTTTGATTTGAGTGACAATAGATGTTCGAGAGTCTGTGGCCATTACACTCAGGTAAATATATTCTAATCTTTTTCCAATTTCTCTTATCAAAAACCGTGAATAAAACAATATTTAAAGAATCAACTGAAAAAATTGTTGTGCTTGATACTGCGTTCATTCTGTAGAGACTCTAAAATCTGCCTAGAGGTGGTTCATTTGGTCTAATACCTGTACACCAATTTTGTAAAACACAATTAACCTCCTCCTACCCTAAATCTCTCTTTGGAAATATCTTATATCTTGTATATGTACACATGTATACGTTCATTATAATGATCATATGTTCTTATGTATTAGATGTTCTCTTGCCCTCAAAAATATATACAGTGTACTCGGGATAATCAAAATAACACATAAGCTTTTGCAAAATTATCAAGTCCAAGATCAAATGGGACTTAAAGACTTGATCAGAATTGGAAGGTGTTTATCTGAGAATGCTTCCTGGAGAAAAACATTGTCTGGGACTTGAAGGAAATGACGCAAAGGTTTGGAAAAGAGGAGGAAGTTAGGCATGCCAAATAAGAAATAACAGATAAGCAAAGACATAAGGGCCAAAATTATTAAATTAAGGAACAGAATATTCTAAATATTTCTCAAGAATGTATATCTTTAATTCATTTGCATTTCAGAAATCCATGCTGAAACTGATTTCATTAATCAAAACTCCTTAAAACCATTTGCTGTGCTCTCTTCTTTACACCTGAAGGGAACCCCAAAGGGAAAGGCACCTCACTCTATTCTTCTCCTGTATTCTTTATTATACCCTGCTGACCCATAGAATGCTTTATTTGTATAGAAGTAGAAAGAAGGGTTTTATTAGTTCAGTTTCAGAAATAACTCTTTTTTGGAGTAGAAGGGAGGTTGCAGAGGTACCCAAGTAGTACTAAATGGCTCATTTCATGGCTGTCCCTCCAAAAGCACAGTTTATTGCCAGATGGTCATATAGTATAAGCATTGATTTATAATTTTCAGGGTGTTTTATTTTTAAATCCATTTTCTCTAGGTTGTCTGGGCCTCTACCTATAAAGTTGGCTGTGCTCTTAAAATGTGTCCTAATTTAGGAAAACATGTTGCAATGTTTGTGTGCAATTATTCACCTGAGTAAGTAATTTTGTTGTTTAAAAGTATTTTAAAAGTGGAAATAAACAAGAGTTGTTTGCCATTAAGACCCATAAGGAGTATGTAATTCAAGAAGAATAGATTTAATTTTTAAAAAGGGGGGGAGGTTGGAGAGTAGTACTACATGGAAGAAGACATATAACAACGTAACCCTGTATAACTCTATCCTCTACCTCCTCCAAAGATCATTGAGGTATTGTCATAGAGATGTTGGAGGACCAAATATGGATATGGTTATCTAGAAATGTGGTTTTCAAAGGGTGTACAATGGCTTGTGTACTGCAAGTTTCTTTAATTGTGATACACAGTTTTGCTCTGTACACATTTGTTTAGAACTTCATAAACTAGGAAGTACCTATTTTGGCCACCATGATAAGAACAGCTCCTTCTGTATTTAACAGACAACGCTATGAACCATTAGAACCCAAACCAAATCTCTGAACTGAAGTTGCAAACCTTTTATTATTTTGAATGGCCTTATGGCCCCCTCTCCTATGCTTCTGCCTCATCACACCCTGAGACATAACCATTCCCTAGTCATTCCAAAGCACCTGGTTGTTCTTTGCTACCTACTCTTTCTGTTTTCATATCAGATCACAATAACAGCTCTGACCTCAGAGAGGTACCATTAAACTTTCTCTTGTAACAGAAATAAAAGTTGAACAACATCGCCAAAGTAATATAGCCAACTGTGTCTGAGGATAGGGAATGTTTTTTTTGCTTTTCTTTGATCACCAGTATTTAGCAAAGGGCCTGGCTCCTAGTGAATACTTAGTGAGTAAAAAAATTGATAAATGCTTGAATAATTGATTGCCAGGGCAGTGAATTTTTCATATCCATAGGTCCCCCACATCTCTGCCAAGAGAAGGGAAGTGTGTTTCTTTGTCTCTTCCCCAAGGAGAAGATTAGTTAAGATCAGAATACAGCTACCTTTAGTGTTGTTTTCACATATACAATATTTTAATTATTATGTATTTTGTTCATATGGTTCTACTTAATTAGCCCTCTATCATTTCAAGTCTTCCCACATTTTTCTGAATTCCTTATAATTGTTACCTATGGTGTTATAAATTCAGATACCAAAATTTATTCAGCCATTCAAAAACTGATGTATACTCATTTTATTCTCAGTGTCTTGCTAACACAGAAAGTGTGATTCTGAATAATTAGGTATATGGGGAGACCTTCTGTCTCTGATACACACACACACATACAGATATATCTTTGTGTGTGTAAACATGTATATGTATTTGTCTATATATATGTATAAATATACATATGTGTGTATATATACACATGTATATATGTTTGTATGTATATGTGTGTGTTTCCTTTTTTTAAAGTTTTTGTTCATTTTTAGTTTTCAGCATTCACTTCCACAAGATTTTGAGTTCCAAATTTTCCCCATCTCACCCCTCCCCCCACCCCAAGACTGCATGCATTCTGAATACCCTTTCCCCTCATCTGCCCTCCCTTCTATCACCCTTCCTTTCTCTTATCCCCTTCCCCTTCTATTTTCCTGTAGGGCAGGATAGATTTCTATGCCTCATTGCCTGTATATCTTATTTCCCAGTTGCATGTGAAAACAATTTTTAACATTGGTTTTTAAAACTTTGGGCTCCAAATTTTCTCCCTTCCTCCCTTCCCACCCACCCTCATTGAGAAGGCAAGCAACTCAATACAGGTTATACTTGTGTAGTCATGCAAAACACTTCCATAGTAGTCATGTTGTGAATAACTATATTTCCCTTCATCCTATCCCACCCCCTGTTTATTCAATTCTCTCCTTTGACCCTGTCCCTCCTCAGAAGTGTTTCCTTCTGATTACCCCCTCTCCCAATCTGCCCTCCTTTCTATCATCAACCCCCTTTCTTATCCTCTTCCCCCTATTTTCCTGTAGGGTAAGATAGATTTCCATACCCAATTGAGTGTGTATGTTATTCCCTCCTTAAGCCAAATTTGATAAGAATAAGATTCACTCATTCCCTCTCACCTTCCCCCTCTTCCCCTACACTCTAAAAGCTTTTTCTTGTCTATTTTATGTGAGATAATTTGCCCCATTCTACCTCTCCCTTTCTCCTTCTCCCAGTATAATCCTCTCTCACTCCTTAATTTTATTTTTTAGATACCACCCTTTCATCTACAACTCATCCTGTGCCCTCTATCTACCTACCTATCTGTCTATCTATCTATCTATCTATCTATCTATCTATCTATCTACACATATTTTTTTTTCCTCTCCAACTACCCTAATACTGACAAAGGTCTCATGAGATACAAATATTCCATGTAGGAATGTAAACAGTTCAACCTTAATAAGTCTCTTATGATTTCTCTTTCCTGTTTACCTCTTCATGTTTCACTGGAGTCTTGTATTTGAAAGTCAAATTGTGTATTCAGCTCTGGTCTTCTCATCAAGAATGCTTGAGGGACAGCTAGGTGGCGCAGTGGATAGAGTACCCAGGCCTGGAGTCAGGAAGATCTGAGTTCAAATTTGGCCTCAGATATTTATTAGTTGTGTGACTCTGGGCAAGTCACTTAATCCTATTTTGCTTCATTTTCCTCATCTGTAAAATGAGCTGGAGAAGGAAATGGAAAATCATTCCAATGTCTTTGCCAAGAAAACCCCAAATGGGGTCACAAAGAGTCAGACATGAATGAAAATGACTGAAAAACAATAATCAAACCTATGTTATTAATAATTCCTGCTATAATTTTCAAAATCCATTCCCATCATATAGAATATTAGGACAATATTTTGAGTAATCTTGGATATCATTGAGGAAGAGCTATGTTGGGATCAGATGAGAAGGCAGAATGGATAAAGATTTGGACAGTCAGAGACAGGAAGCAGGTCATCCTGTGGCTGGCATGATAAGTGCATTCGTTCCACAACTCAAAGGTAGTTATCACATTTTCTAATACAGCATATCTAAATCCCAAGCTGAGGGACAAAAACCAAACAGCCACTGATTTGAACAATTGTGTCACAACCAATGGCATAGAGCGTCACCTCTCACTGTTCTCTGGTCCCTGTTTCCCACTTAATTACATCCTTATGCAACATTGATCATATAACCAAAGAAAACTAGCTCCTGACTGGTATATTATGGAATTAATGGGCGAACAATAAAAATATATTACAAAAGGTATACACTATATATTCAGTATAGTATTTGTCTTGTTGAACATTGTTTTCAATTAGGAAAGCAATTTCTCAGATGAACATACGATTGTTAAAGTGTGTTGTCACATCCATTTACTACTCTTTCCAAATTCTTTCTGTTTATTGTAAACTTGACAATCATCAATAAACATGAACATTTCCTATAAAAACAAGAAAGGATTACGTTGGAAATCATTTATTTTTGTTTAGATTTTTTCTTTTAAAAATATGTGTGAAATTTAACACAACAATACTAATAATTCCCCTTTTGTGTTTCCTAGAAATTCTGCTCTTGTCTGTGTTTTTTTAAATGATCCATCGGCACTTCTTTCTTTCTCTTCTCTCCTCCTCTCTTTCTTGCTCTCTTCTCTTTCCCTTTTTTTGTTTCTTTCTTCCTCCTTCCCTCCCTTTCTTTCTTTTTTCTTCATAGCCATATCACTATTTTAAGACTACCCTTTACAATTGTCCCCTCTGCAAAATGCATTCTATTTTTTGTGATAAGTGTAGTCAAGCAAAACAAATTCACACACTTTCCATGTTTAAGAGTGTATGTCTCATTCCACAACAATAATCTGTCACTTCTCTGGTAAGAATTGGAAAGCATGCTTTATCATCAATCTTCTAAAACATAACAACCATGGCCCACAACACTCCCTAATACTGCCTGAACCAGATTAAAATGCAATTGGGAGTTATTTGACAAAATAAGTAAAAATAGAATAAAATAGATAGTGTTAACATATGGTTTTGTAAGTCAGTATGTGGCCAGCAGGGATCCTTATGCACAGTTTAGCGACCCTATTTCTATTTGAATTTGACACCACTGTTCTAGATTCATGGTAAACCATTTCAATGATCAGAGTTCTAAGTCTTTCACTGTTGTTTTCCTTTACAATGTTGAAGTCATTTTTATAAATTGTTCTCCTGGTTCTGCTCTCTTCACTATGCATTTGCTCATACAAGTCTTCCCAGGTTTCTCTGAATCCATCCCTTCCATACTTTCTTAAAGCACAGCAATATTCTAATCTATCCATATACCATAATTTGTTCATCTATCATCCAATTGATGGGAACCTCATTTATGTCCAATTCTTTGCTACAACAAAAGTATTGCTGTAAATATTTTTGAACATATTGGCCCTTTCCTTTCATCTTTAATCTCTCTGGGGTATATGTCCAATAGTGCTGTTGTTGGGTCAAAGAGTAGGCACAGTTTATTGACTGTTGGGGTCAGTACTAAATTGTTTTGCAGAATGTTTTCCATATCACAGCTCCCCAAAGAGTGAATAAAGTGTTTGCCCTTCCACTGTACCTTCAACAATTGTCCTTTTCTTTTTTCTTGTCATTTTCACCAGTCTGATGAGCATGAAGTAGAAGTTGAGTGTTGCTTTGCAATTCTCATTAATAACTTTCATTAGTTTTTAAATGAATTCTGAGGAATGTTAGGGAGATGGGAAACATGTCTTAAATTATCATAAAAGTAAATTTGAAGTTATTGTTTGACATATCTACTTGAATAAACAATGCACAAAAGTCATTTGCACAAATGCACATAACAATGCAGTGTTATTTCCTACCATCTTTGCTTCCCTATAACAAATGACCCAGAAAGTTTGGTTTTGAGGTAATTGACAGGACGTAGTGAAGTAGTTGCTTTAGAAGTCCTTCAATTAGCCAAACAATCAACATTTATTAAGCACATATGATGTAACTGGCACTGTGCCACCAAAAGTGCTCCCACTGAGGTGTTCCATTCCATTGATTGAAAAGTTTGAAAACTGTATCTAGGTTCACTGTTAAAATAAAACAGTGGCAGCAAATGGTCAACACAATCCTGAGAATTTGAGGTGAATCCATTTATAATGCTATTCACTATCCTTTCTCAGGGCACTAATTAAAAATAAATTATCTTAATTTCTCTTCACTATGATTTGTGTGTGTGTGTGTGTGTGTGTGTGTGTGTGTTTAGTAGCTTCTTACATCTAAAAGGCAACTGTTTTCCACTTATATTAAGTGAAAATGAAAATATACTTGTATTCAAAGAATTCTTTAAATTCAAAAATGAAATGCCCTTTTCTAAAGACTAGTTCATTAGGGTTTATTTGTTTGTTTGTTTTAATGGTCTGAGTCTGGAACTTTCAACCTTTTTTAAGGTTTTTTGAAGTTTGGTACAGCCTTTGCAGAATAATGTTTTTATATGCCAAAAAATTAAAATATATAGGTTTAAAAATGAAACTAATTTTATTGAAATACAAATTTCAAAGTATTTGGAAAAAAAAAGTTAGTGGTCAGCAGAACTCCTGGTCTTGAATGTATCCTAACCCTGTAGTAGGCAATTAATGTTTACTGAAGTGAATTATATTATTCAGAGCTTTCAGAAATTGGCATATTTTCTTAATTCATTTACTCATAACATACTCATAGAATTTAAAAATAAACAATTAAAATGGATAGTTATTGATATCTATCTAACTAATGAATATTATCATTTTTATAGAGGAAACTTGATTGGAACGAGGCCTTATACAAAAGGAGTATCATGCACTTATTGTGAGGAAGGAGATACTTGTGAAAATAATCAATGCAGTAAGCAACAGTTGAATGAGTTGAAAAGTTTTAACTTCTCACTGAGTCAGAGAATGTCAGAAGGGATAATAATAATAATAATAGAAAGCGTTTGCACGGTCCTTTAAGGTTTGCAAAGCACTTTATAAAGATTTATTTCATTTTATCCTCACAGCAATCCTGGGAGGTAGATGTTAGTATCCTCATTTTACAGATGAGAAAACAGAGGTTAAGTGATTTGCTCAGTCACACAGCTCACTAAGTGTCTAAGGTCAGAGTTGAACTTCTTGACTTCTTGACTTCAAGCCCAGTGCTCTATTCACTGCACCGCCAATCCTTACCCAAACAAGAATATGTTCTGCAATATCCTTCGCAAGTAGGCCTCCAGCCTCTCTTTGACAGGGAACTCACTCCCTCTGAGAGCTGTTCATTCCACTTTGGGTTCTAATTGTTGGGAAGTTTCTTTTCTTATATTGAGCCGAATTTTGCCTCTGGAACTTCCTTTCCTTACTCCTAGGAGTAAGAAGAACGGGTCTAAATGTTCTTCTACAAGACTGCCTTTCAAGCACTTTAAGATCATTACCTTATCTATACTAAGTGCTTTCTTATCCAGGCCGAAGAGTTTCATTTCCCCATGTGGTGTTATCTCAAGGCCCTTCAAAGCCTTTTTCTCTTCCTCTGGGGGCTTGTTAACTTGCCAGATCTGTCCTAAAACAGCAAATGTCACTATAAAAAGGAAATTGAATCTAAGGATAGAAATGATAATATTGGCTCTTCCAAAGCTCAATGTATTATAACTATAGTAGTCATTCAATACATCTTTGTTGAATGAACAAAAACATAAAGCTACTTTGAGTTTACTTAATAACATGTTCTCTCCCCACCCCATCCCTAGCATAATTCTTTAATGCTAATGTATTCATCTGAAAACACTGCTGTACTTGGAGTCAGGAGAGACTTGAATTCCAACGCCACCTTAAACACTTACCAGCTTTGTGAACATGAGCAAATCATAAATGTTTCTTCATCTTCAAAACAGAAGTATCCATGCTTGCCTCACAGAGTTATTATGAGAGCCAAATGCGGTCATGTATATAAAATAATTTGTATAATAATAACCTTAAAGTGCTATATAAATGTCAATGTCGCTGTTATTATTGTGAATCTAACAGAAGAGAAGGAGAAGGGAGGAGAAAAAACATTCATATAAAGCCTATTATATTATAGGTAATATGAAGTATTATTTCATGCAATCCTCACAACAACCCTAGGAGGTAGTCACTGTTATTATTTCTTTCAATAGATAAGGAAACTGAAGCAGACAAAGTTTAAATGACTTGCCCAGAGTCATACTGTTTATTAAGTATCTGAATCTGGATTCGAACTCAGGTCTTCCTAATTCCAAGGCCAATGTGATATCTACTGTACAACATGATTTCCATTGAAAGGAATTTTAGGCACCATGGTAGACTTTGGGAGGAAATACTTTTTTTTAAATCAGACAAATCTTTTCACTTTTCAAATAATACCACATAAAAGACTTTTGTATTGGGCCTACCTTCCTTCACACTTTTCTAGAGACAACAAGGAATAGCTATTGAAGATACAATTTTTGCTGACTTGCAAATTATGTACAAAATTAAATATGATTATTCAAACATGTCATCATATCCACATTCTGTCACTTGGTTAGTAAGGAGGATGTCTCTGCTAAATTGGCTTGAATACAGAAATCTTTTGAAGGGGTAAAGAGGTAGAGAGATTCTGGGAATTTGGATTAATGGGGTACTCACTGGGGTCTTGGGACAGTAAGGTGCCCTAAGAGATAGCATAGCCTTAGTGCTATGATGGTTTAAAAAAAAAAAAAAGGAAAGGATTGAGAGATCCTGATGAGAACTCTTTCTTACTTCACAAAAATTTTAGCTAGGACTGACATGTGCTTTGTACATAAAAAAAAATTTTTACAAATGTTTTCTGATTCACAGCTGCTGTCAGTAACTTGAAAGCATAAACTTTTAAATGCTGTATTTGCTCATATCTAAATCTCCCTATTATGTGTTTAAAAAATAACTAAAATTAGTTTCCAAAGTTAATGGAGAAAAAAAATCCTAAAGACCTTTGAATTTGTATTTTTTTCTCTTTCTAGGAAATCCAATATGTGATAAAAGCTTAAGTACATATACATTAAAATATTTAATTATTAATTATTTGTTTAGTGTGACATTATTCTAACTATTCTGTGCTGCTGTTGTTGTTGTAACAGATTATCCATATTGGAATCCAACTTGGGAAATTCCTCGTCGAATTACATGTGATCCATTCTGTCAAATCTGTATGTCATTTAGATTGGTAGAAATTGTATTAGCAATTACAGTTGTTTATATACTACAAAAGAAATTTCCAAACATGCAATTAGTGGATTAGTTTATAACTAAGGCTGAGCTACCATCAATCCAATTCTCTTCCAAATCTCCATGCCCTAAATGTCTCTTCTATTTGAATTAAATAGGAGGCCAGAGGAGATCCTGCAGAGAAGAAAAGAATGGACTAGTGAAATCAGGTAGTAAGGCTGATAAAGCAATTTATGTGAACTTGGCATTATAGCTTACATAAACGTGAAAAGATTCTCATATTCCTGTTTCCCAACAGAATGAGTGCCATTGCATTAAAGATAAAGTTGCTGTAAACTACAAAACAAATGAATTGATGTATTTTGCTTTGGCTCCAAAACTTACCTTTGAGAATATTACCACCATGATTTACAATAAAGAATATATGAGCATTTTCAGTTAGATATGTGACATAGGGGTTGCCCAACAAATTTATATAAGTATGTTTTTAACCAATAATATTAAAATCTCAAATATTGAGAGTTGTATAGCAATTAACAATGGAAAGAAATTTGAAAATGAAATGTGATATTGTGATTTAATTCATCAAAGGAGATGTCTCCAAGCTGACTATAAACACTAAGTAAATTTATAGTTTTGAAACTCAAAATCATATCTTAGAACAAGTCAACAAGAATTAATTTATTCTAAGATAACTATAATTTTTTTTATCTTTTTAAATCTAAAAGAAAAATGCGAGTAATGAATGAGCCTCTGCTCTGAGATGAACAATGCTTTTATTGATAACAAAGACTAGAGTTAATTGAGCATTTTCCTACATGGTGAGAAAATAATTAGTTTTTAGTTCATTCAGTTTTAAAAATTCCATTGTTTGGGTACCAAATTGACTTAATTTTTGTCATTGTTAACAAATATCATAAAAAAATTGTAAAATGAATTGTTGTGAAACAAATAGTGTTTTTCCATTAACTTCCATAATGATGTGAGAAATATATTCTTGAAAGGAGGTGAGGAGGGTAGTTTCCCTGACATTGTATATTTCAGCTGAAATACCAGTGTCCCTCAGCTAGCAAATGCCTATATTGCCTCTGGGTTATTGGTTATTTCTACCCAATGAAAACAGTAGCATTAAAGTAAAAATGCCAAATTGCAACATTTGTGTTTCTGAGTATCTGGATATTTCAATTTATCTGAATAATTGATGCAATATAAGCAAATACGTCCAGGTTCTTTAATTTTTTAACTTTTGGTTCTGGTGTTTCGGTATATTGTAGATGCAATCATTGCCTTCATCAGGTTTTAATAACACAAGCCCTTTCACTATTAATATTTGAGTTAACAATGGCTACCAAACATGGTTAGACAAGATAAAAACAAAGTCACATATGAGAGCAATAAAATGTTGGAATTCAGATCACTTTTCTTCTTCTCTAATTCCTATTTGCCATTTGATTTATTGTCATGCTATCTTAATAAACTTTTGCTTAAAATTAAATGTACAATTAATACATCATTTTATGATGGATGTCTTCAATTGCTCCAATTAATTAATTATACTTAAAAGGCTGTCAGGTTATTTGAAAGATTATATTGTAGAGAAAGACGTGTGTGTGTGTGTGTGTGTGTGTGTGTGTGTGTGTGTGTGTGTGTGTGTGTGTGTGTGTAAAGAGAGAGAGAGAAGACAGAGGTTAATAACTTAATTGGTCCATGCAATATGATAAATACACAATATATAATACTATACATGTATATACAGACATATATGTATATGTGTATGTGTGTATGTATATATTACATATATATATAACATATATATTTATACATATATATATTACATATATATATATATATATATACATATATATTGATACATAACAATTTAAAATAACCTGATTTTTACTGGCTTCCTTAAAATATTATATTAGAGTTGACATTTTCTTAGGGTCTACTGTTAAGATTTTCTTAAAACTTAAAAACAAGGATAACCACAGAATTTCCAGTTAAATGCACAGGTTCTAATGGTAGTACTTTGGCTATGTAATTAAGTTATCATATTCATTGTTCATAAAATCTGTAGTAATTTGCAGTCTTTAACAATGCAAATGTTTGTGTAATTGTGTTCTGCAACCCACAAATAAAATTAATGTACATAATAAAATGCTCACAAAATATAATGAAAAAGGTCTTCATTTCTAAATGTTAGAATTCACTTGCTATTTATGGGTTATGTGATCAGCAAGATAATTGGGAGTAGTCATTGTTCCCTATATCTTTCCAACCTAAAAACTTCCAGGAACATAGGAAATACCTATGGTAATTAAAACTAAATTCACAAGATAAGAAGACAGCCACCACAGAAGGCAGAAACTTCATGAAATAACTTTAGAGACACCCACTCCAAACCCTTCCTCCAAGCCTAACCTGCCACAGGATCACTTCAGGCAAACTCATGGGCTTGTCCATGTCTGGTTCCCAGACAATTCGGAACAGCTTTGTTTTTGTTTTTATTCAAGTCAATTTGGGTGTTTCTGACTCTCAGCTTCAAGACAGAAAATGGAAGAAGCAAACCCTACTTCAGGTTGCTGAAGAAAAAAATCTCTGAAAATACAGAGGAGTTGGCAGTTTCCACCATGCCCATCAACAACAAAAACAACAACATGGAATAGTGGATGGAAAGCAGGCCTGGGAGCCAGGGAGAGCTAAATTCAAGCTCTACATGAGACATACTGTTCATGTGACCCTGGATGGGACCCTAAATGTCTCAGTGCCCTAGGTCAGTGGTTGCCAATTTATTTCGTTGTTGTTTTCCGTGAACATCTTTCAACAAACAACAACAGAAACATGTTAGATGGCAGAGTGAAAGCAGTGACTTGCTTGAGCTCTCCCCCAAACCCCTCCAAATACCTATAAAAAATGGCTCTAAACAAATTCTAAAGCAGTACAACCCACAAAAAAGACAGAATAAAACAAATTTCCAGCCCAAGACGACCTGGATGGTGGATCAGGAAGGTATATCAAGCTGGGCAGGGAGAAAAGCGCAGTTTGGCGTGGGCACATAGGCCTCAGCAAACCTGGAGCAGGCCTCAGGAAGACTGAATCATAAGCAGCTATGGTGGTTTCCAGACTGCTCAACCCACAAATGCCAAAGACAACTTAAAAGGTCAGTGGGAAAAGTCTGATTCTGCCCCATTCCCCAAGGAATTCGGCCTCTGGGCAGTGGCAGCCTCCTGAGCTTCTGGCCCACAGACTAAGGGGGAATCAAGTGGCTGATCAGAGGGGGATAGCAGAGATCTCTCTGCCAGTGCTGAGGTAGGAATCTCTTCCTTTGCCCGTGCTTGGATCTGGGTCACATTTCTGGGTGGCCGTTCTGGGGCGAGGAGGAGCCCTGGCGTGGTGGAGCATGTAGTGGCTGTGAAGAGGAAACCCTCCATACAGTTCCAAGAAAGAAAAGAGTGCTTGTGGTCAGTCACTCATACACCACAGCACAGGCCAGGAAAAGAGTAAACACCTCGCCCCTAATCATACCGCCTAAGAAGAATTGAAAATTTACAGGTCCCTAGAAATATCCCTGAAAACAGCTATACAAACTCCTGAAGCTTGGGACAGTAGATTCTCCACATTGGAAGCAGACTCTTACCTTAACAAAGAGTTTAAAAGTCAAATATTTGGCTGGGATCATGAGCAAGCAGAGCAAAAAGAGTCAGACTACATTATCTTACTTTGGTGAGAAAGAAGATCAAAACATACAACCAGAAGAAGACAACAAAGTCAAAGCTCCTACATCCAAAGCCTCCAAGAAAAATATGAATCAGTCCCAGGCCTTGGAAGAGCTCAAAAGGGATTTTGAGAAGCAAGAAAGAGAAGTAGAGGAAAAACTGGGAAGAGAAATGAGAATGATGCAAGAAAATCATGAAAAACAAGTCAACAGCTTGCTAAAGGAGACCCAAAAAAATACTGAAGAAAATAACACCTTAAAAAAAGCTTAACCCAAATGGCAAAAGAGGTCCAAAAAGCCAATGAGGAGAAGAATGCCCTAAAAGCAGAAATTGGCCAAATGGAAAAGGAAGTCCAAAAGCTTACTGAAGAAAATACTTCCTTAAAAATTAGAATAGAGCAATTGGAAGCTAGTGACTTTATGAGAAATCAAGACACTGTAAAACAAATCCAAAAGAATGAAAAATTAGAAAACAATGTGAAATATCTCATTGGAAAAACAACTGACCTGGAAAATAGATCCAGGAGAGAGAATTTAAAAATTATTGGACTATCTGAAAGCCATGATCAAAAAAAGAGCCTAGACATCATCTTTCAAGAAATTATCAAGGAAAACTGCCCTGATATTTTAGAACCAGAGGGCAAAATAGAAATTGAAAGAATCCACATCTCCTCCTGAAAGAGATCCCAAAGGAAAACTCCTAGGAATATTGTAGCCAAATTCCAGAGTTCCCAGGTCAAGGAGAAAATATTACAAGCTGCCAGAAGAAACAATTCAAGTATGTGGAAACACAATCAGGATAACACAAGATTTAGCAGCTTCTACATTAAGGACCACAGGGCATGGAATATAATATTCTGGAGGGCAAAGGAGATAATATTACAAACAAGAATCACCTACCCAGGAAAACTAAATATAATACTTCAGGGTCATTCATTGAAATAGAGGACTTTCAAGCATTCTTGATGAAAAGACCAGAGCTGAATAGAAAATTTGACTTTCAAATACAAGACTCAAGTGGAACATGAAGAGGTAAACAGGAAAGAGAAATCATAAGAGACTTATTAAGGTTGAACTGTTTACATTCCTGCATGGAAAGATATATTATAACTCATGAGACCTTTGTCAGTATTAGGGTAGTTGGAGGGAAATTATATGATGTATGTAAGATAGATAGATAGATAGATAGATAGATAGATAGATAGAGGGCACAGGGTGAGTTGAAGGGGTCATATCTGGAGAATAAAATTAAGGGATGAGAGAGGATTATACTAGGAGAAGAGAAAGGGAGAGGTAGAATGGTGTAAATTATCTCATACAAAACAGACAAGAAAAGGCTCTTACAGTGGAGGGGAAATGGCGGAAGGTAAGAAGGAATGAGGGAATCTTATTCTCATAGGATTTGGCTTAAGGAGGGGATAACATATACACTCAATTGGGTATGGAAATCTGTCTTACCCTACAGGAAAATAGGGGAGAAGGGGACAAGAGAGCAGGGGGTGATAGAGAGAGGGCAGATTGGGAAAGGGTAATCAGAAGAAATACTTCTGAGGA